GTAGGACAGGGAAGGAATACTGCTGATCTTTCTGGGTCATAATAAATTGTTTCTGATGGGCCTTATGGATAAGTACAAAGAAGGCATCCACCAAATGGATAACTGCATACCAAGTCCAAGGAGGTCTGTTAAGCTGCTCAAGCAAGGAAACCATATGGAGTATGGCTGCTAGAATTGGCACCACCACTTGATTCAGCTTATGATAATCTACCATGTTTCTTTAAACCCCATCCCTCTTATTCACAAGTGAAATGAAGAATTAAATGCAGATGTGGTGGAGAGTACCACCCTGGCATCATTCAAGTCCTTGATAGTAGCACTAATCTCTTCAATTCCCCAAGTATGTGACATTGTTTTGGGTTTACTATTTTACCAGGCAAAGGTAAATCCTAGTGGCTTCCATTTGACTTTTCCAACCATAACAGCCTTTACATGACAGGTTAAGGAAACAATGTGAAGATTCTGCCAAGGACTAAGTATATCAGTCTCAATTATGTGTTCTGATACAAGTGAATAACTACAGGATGGATCTGAGAACCTACTGGACTCATTGTCAGTTGGACCTTTGCTAAAACTCCACTGAAGGGCTGGGATGATAGCTCAATGGCTTAAGCACCTTTCTGGCAAGCACAAGGTTCTGAGTTTGATCCCCAGCACAAAGAAAAAAAATACCCTCCACTGATCACCTGACCTCCATAAGACACTTTTCTGACTTAATAATCACAGTGATATTTTGGATCCCCTGGAATCTGTTAGATCAGAACCAGTGTCCACTTGTAATATACAGTTTCTCTATTAAAAAACCTCAGGTGCCTTTGGGGGGAAAGACAGGAAAAATAATGACCATATAAATTTTTGGTGGCATCAGGATCCTTCCTCAAAATGACCAAATCTCTCTTTCATTCAAAAACTTCTGAGACTGCATATCAGCTTTAATCTTGGATGTCAAGTACATTTTTGTTCATTTGCCCTTAAGTATTTTTTAAAGAAAAAGGTTTATTTAGCTCACAGTTTATAGAAAGTTTTAGTCCATATAAGCTGGATCTAAAGCAGCGTGGCACATGGCAGAAAAGTAGCTGTTCACCGAGACAGAAGATACCAAATACAACAAGAACAAAAGGGAGGAGCAAGCCCCTTTTCCTCCTTTACACTGTATGCAGGCTACCTGCCCCAGGGTGCATATACCTCTCACACCTCCAGTACAATGGCATTCTCTAAAATAGACAATAAAAGGCCAGACAGATAGCTCAGCAGACTAAAGCAGGGGCCGGGGTTTGATCCCTGGCATGCCATGCTGGCCCCGCCCTCAGGGTACACTGAGACAGTGACTGAGACTGAGTGTGAAGGCACATGCCTGTAATCCCAGCACTTAGGAGGCTGAAAACAACAGGATCACTATGAGTTTGATCTATGTAGTGAGACCCTGTAGACCCTGTACCAAAACATAAAAATAAATAAATAAAATAAAATAGACAACATACTAGCCCATAGAGCATGCTTAAGTAAATGTAAAGGAACTGAAATTATCCTATGCATATTATCTGACCATAGTGTAATGAAACTGGGAATTATTGACAAAAGAAATTGTAAAAACTCCATAAACACAGGGAAATTAAATAACACTCTCTTGAACAACAATCGGTCACAGATGGAATTAAAGAAGAAAGTAAACAATACTTACATTCAAACAAAAATGCAGGTACAGGAGGATCACTATGAGTCCGATCTACACAGTGAGAATCACCCTGTACACCCTGTCCTAAATTTTTTAAAAAATGCAAAAATCCTCAATAAAATACTAGCAAACAGAAGACAGCAAATCATCAAGAAGATTATACACAATAGCCAAGTAGGGCTCTGTTGGCGTGGGTACTGGTTTAGGGATCAGAGGCCTCGGATCTGTGCTGGCGGTACCATGTCGTTCTGCAGCTTCTTCCGGGGCGAGGTTTTCCAGAACCACTTTGAACCAGGTCCATCCTGCGACCTCTTGTATTAGTGGGGGTGGCACCACCCTCCGGAGTCGGTGGAGCTCGGGGCCCTGGAATGGGACGAGTGTATGGCCATCCGGAGGAGTGAATGTGGGGAAAGGTGGTCATGGAGGAGGTGATAGCCTAGAGGGCTGGGGCAGTGGGGAGACTCGAAGGGACGGGGCATGGGAGGAGTCGCTGGCCCGAAGGAGGACGGGCTTCGAACCTTACCGTGACTATTAGGGTAACTGGGTCCGGGTCGGGACTTTGGGAGGGCACAGTGGATCATCTGGTCTGGGAGCAGTGCAGGTGTTTCTCTAAGTGCTGTGCTTCTAGAATCCGCGGGGTGAGTAGGCAAGCACTTGAGTATTCAGATGGATAGAGGCCAGCTCAAATGCCTCTCCACCTGCCCAGGGCCTTCCGGTTGGGTAACCAGGAACGCCGCTTGGCTCTTGGCAAGAGAAGTTTGACCTGTGCAGGTACGTTGTGGTGGCTTGGAGAATGGCTAGCTCTCAGTCCTAACTCCAGGTTGTGTGATGCCTTCGTGAATTACAGCTGGGCTCTTCAAGTAGTGGACTAATTTGATAAAAATAGGTCTATATAGAAAACTTGGACATTGGTTTCCCTGGAGCAAAATCCTTTGGAACTAGGCTGTGAAACCCCGCATCTGTGGGCCCAGCTGTGACATGGGACCATCTGGGCAAAAAGACCTACCCTGAGGCCCTTTGACTGTGGGACCCTTAGTTGTCCTAAGGCTATCCTCCTGAGCTGAAACTTACCTTCTGTGGCAGCTCCCTGCCTCTATGCCTTTTTTTTTTTTTTTTTTTTTGAAATAGGGTCTCTTTATGTACTTCAGGCTAGCCTTGAACTCTTGAACTTACTGTGTAGCCCACAACACATCCTTGCTGTTGTGTCTGCCAGGAACCAATCTGTAGTCTATGACCAGCACAGATGTACAGAACCATGCCCATTTTATGCTTCTATCTTGAGTTCCTAGTAAGTGCTGAGCAGTTCAGACATTTCAGGAAGGCTGTCCAGGTTGGGGTTGAAAGGTTCCTGTTTTTTGTTTTTCACATAGTTCTGTAAATCAGTTTTGCAATCTTCCCTGCCCCTTCTACTCCAAAGTGATCTTTTGGGAACAGATTAGAAGCTGTCCTCCCAGCGCTTGTCTTCCTGGACACCTTTTTAAGTTAAGGCTTTGTCTCTGGGACTATTCTCTTCCTGCCTGGAGAGGCCAGTGGATGAATGTTTAGATCAGAAGTTTGTTGGGTAGCAGGATTGGCCCCTTGAAGAGGTACGTGGGCCAGGTGTTTAACATTAAATGTAGGGGGGCTGAGGAGATAGCTCAGTAGAATAAGCACTTGCCTGGCAAGCACAAGGGCCTGAGTTCAATCCCCCATTCCAGAAAAACAAACCAAAAAACATTGAATGTAGGGACATCTCCCTGTGTGTGGTCCTATGTAGGGAGTGGGTCTTGTGGCCTCATGAGATTGACTGGGTTCTTCCCTGGTCACACTATTTTATTTCTGTCTTTGTGTTTGTTTGAGTTCTTTGTTTCTTTTTTCCTTCTTTCCTTCCTTCCTCCCTTTTTTTTTTTGCGGAACCAGGGATTGAACTCAGGCCCTTGCACTTGCCAGGGAAGCGCTTATTCCACTGAGCCATCTCCCCGGCCCCCTTCCTCCCTTTTTTCCTTCTTTCCTTTAACAGTCTTGCCATGTAGGTCAGGCTAGCATTAAACTCATTATGTATCCCAGGCTGGACTGAAACTCAGGATGATCCACCTGCCTCAGCTTCCTCAGTGCAGGGATTATAGGCAGGTGTCACCATGCCTGTCTTTTTTTTGTCCTGGCCACACACTTTCTCACTTGGTACCTGCAACATGTAGCCTCAGCTTCCTCATCTGTCAAGTGAAAATGCTAATAATTCCTCATCAAAGGGCCATTGAAAGAGTTAGTGCAATGTGTGTGAAGGGTGAGTCCTGGTCCCTGGCACATCCTGAGTGTAGGCTTGGTGTTGTGTCTGCCAGGAACCAATCTGTAGTCTTCGATCAGCAAGTGCATGGGAAGGGTGTGCAGGCCAGCTTCCATATGGGCCAGTGTTGCCTCCACATAGGTTTGAAGGATTGGGGAGCTCACCCCAGACAGTATGAAGCTGATGTCTCTGCTTTGACCTCCCTGCCCCAGGTATCTATGTGTGTGCCAAGTGTGGCTATGAGCTGTTTTCTAGCCGCTCGAAGTATGCACACTCATCTCCATGGCCAGCATTCACAGATACTATCCACGCTGATAGTGTGGCTAAATGTCCAGAGCACAACCGACCTGGAGCCCTGAAGGTGGGTGATAATGGCTGGGGCTAGGGCTTTTCAGGGTGTGCCAGAGAGCCAGTCATCCTTTCCTTTCTCTGTTCCCTCTGCTGTCAGGGCTTTGATGCTTCTGGGCTTAGCCCTAGGAGCTGCCACAGTAGTCTTGGGGACAGACAGCCTGGTATCTGATGGATAATGGAGGGCCGGGGAGATGGCTCAGTAGAATAAGCGCTTCCTTGGCAAGCACAAGGACCTGAGTTCAATCCCTGATTCTGCCAAAAAAAAAAAAACAAACCCTGATGGATAATGGGCAGCAGGACAGTGTCCCTCCCAGGCTCTAGGTTGAAGATCCAGCACATACAGGAGAAGGCCATCTCCTTGGCTGTTTCTTGGGATCAGACACTCACTTGGTTTATCTTGTGATCTTTCCAGGTGTCTTGTGGCAGGTGTGGCAATGGGCTGGGCCATGAGTTCCAGAATGATGGCCCCAAGCCGGGGCTGTCTCGATTTTGAATATTTAGCAGCTCGCTGAAGTTTATCCCTAAAGGTGAGCTTGATTTTTGTTGTTAGGGGGCAGGAAAGTTGGTCTGGGATAGGGAAGAGGATGCTGTTGTCCTCATCTGTTTACCATTGCAAAGTATCGGGGCACCAGATCATCTGCTCAGCCAAAGTCACTTGAAACAGTGGCTTCTAGGCGGGGACAAGAGAGCAAATGTCCTGCTTCCTCTGCCTGGCTGATCATGTATATCCCAGAGAAGGACATCTGAGGGGGTGTGTGGCAAAGGCTTTTCTCTTGTGGTCCTCTTTTTTTTTTTTTTTTTCTCCCTGCAACTAGAATTAGCAGGGGCAGGCAGAAGCTGAGGACATGGGCTCTGTGGCTAGGTGTCCTCCTGGCTGCAACCTTGGGCTTGCTTCTCAGCCTCTGAGCCTGCTTCCTTATTCCACAGTGGCCCTTCACAGGGCCATTGAGGACAGCTGAGGGTACTGCAGGGTCCCTGACTTGCTACACAGTAATGCCTCAGAATACCTGCACTGCCATTGACAACATTCTTACTAGTTTTTTTCTTTTGCAGTACTAGGGATTGAATCCAGTGCCTTTGCCTGATCTGTATCCCTGGTCATTTTTGTATTTTTAATTTTAAGCCAGGGTTTTACTAAATCATTGAGTTGCCCAGGCTGGGGTCAAACTTGCAATGTTGCTGCCTCAGCTTTCCAGAATGCTACGATTATTGATGTGCACCACCATGCTGGGTTTCTTAGTAGTTGGTGTTGGGGAGCTGTTTGTGCAAACTCTATCAGCTCAGCTTTCTTTGCCCACTGCTTTCCTGTTCACACACAGCCACGTGCCTTGTCACATTCTGCTCACAGACGGGAAAACATGGCCACCTGACTCCTCTTCACACTTTCTAGTGCGAATCCCCACTCTTTTCTGGCTATTCCTGGGATTGTGGCCAGTCCCTTCAATCTCAGTTTTACACTCTGTAAAATGAGACTGTCAATATTACATGTCACTGACTGCTGTAAGGATAAGTGAGTGAGTGGTTTGTAGGAGCCTGCCATGTTATTAGTCTGCAATAATGTTTTTTGTCCTTTCGCCATTGTTTGTGTGGAAAAGGGTCATACTATAAATTTCAGGGAATGTACAGGAGCTGGGCCTCTGGACCTGCTGACTTGCTTGGTGTCTGAAACATGATTTAATGGTCCCTTACTTTCTCTCTCTTTCCTTTTTTTCAGACAAAGAAACTTCTGCCTCCCAGGGGCACTAGATGGGCAGCCCACCCCCACCCCCAACAGATACACAATGACTACATCCTGGCCTTCACAGCTTGACATTGGAACCCTAAACACTTACACAGCATTCTGAACAGGATCTCCTTGGCAGAGCACTTGTCTGTGATAGCCCATAAACTTTTGCAAGGATAGGCCCTGGGTGGGATGCTGTCATCTGTCTTAGCCTCTGGCTCAGAGTCTCCAGAAGGTGGGCTCTGGGCTCACATTTGAGTGATACTGTGCCTCTACCTCTCTTTTTTTCAGTTTGTTGTCCCCTCCCTGGCTATCTGGACCTCCCCTTGTAGGGCTCTGGTCTTATGTCTATCTCCTCCAGGCTGTGCTATGACACAGAACTTCAAAGGGGACTGCCCTGGCCACCTGCTTCAGCCGTGGTCACTGCATGATCTGCTCTGAATAAACCCTCCTAGGGCAGTCAGGGTGGTGATGATCTGTGACCTGCTGGTGAGCAGACCGGTGAGCCACACCCAGAACCATAGTCCTCTAGCAGAGAAACCTGGAAATGTTTCACAATCTGCAGATGTAGCTTGCTTCACTCAGGCTGGGGAAGCTTCTGTTGCACCATTATCTAATGAACTCAGCAGTGGCTGTGGGGTCACTCCCTCCAGTTCACACTTGCAGAGATGTATCTCCTCCAGATTTGGCCACTGTGGCTTACTGTGTCGGTGTCCAGAAGCTCTTGTCATCTAGGAGGGTGGGTGATGTTGAAGCCCTCCCCTATCTTGAGTACTTTCTGGAGTAATCTGGTAGGAATCAATAAACAGATAAAACCTGAGCTTGCTACCCTTTTCTTTTCCCCTTCAGTGCTAGGGGTTGAACTCCAGGCATTGCACAAGCTAGGCAAGCACTCTGCCACTGAATTACACCCCCAGAAACAGCCCACTACCTTTATTAGCATCAGGGATGTGAAGACATGAATATCAGGCCTTTGTGCAGTGTTTTTATTTGCTTGGTGCCGAGGATACAGTTGTAAGTCCCCAAAGGTCTCATGGTGACCCTGGGGACAGACACAATAAGTTAATGATGGTAAGAAGGGCATTGAGCAACCAGCACAGAATAATGGCACTAGAACATGTGGAGGGTGTGACTAAAGGGCTGTCCTTGGCCTATAAGTAGCTAGAGAGAAAGGTTCCGCAGAAGAAGGAGTCATCACAGAGGGAGGGGTCATCTCAGCTCAGCAGTGACAGGTGAGAAAATTGAGGAGAAGAGCTTTCCAGGCGTGCAGTGGATACAGCATATGCAAAGGCCCCGAAACTGCAAACTTGACGTGCCCCAGGCCCAGAAGAGTGAGATATAAAATGACTTATGAGGAGATGTGCTATAGTCTAAAATTTTTTTTTCCCAATTGTTATGGACAGAAGTCCGGGGAATATGTGTGAAAATGGATATTGGTATAGGATGGTGGGGGAAGCAATATAAATTTGGCTCAGGCTGAATTTATTGATACAAGGCCACTAAGCAGAGATTGTAGATTTAGCATTTCAGCTATTTGGTTACAAAGAACTTTAAGGGGCTGGGGAGATGGCTCAGCAGAATAAGTGCTTCCCTGGCAAGCGCAAGGGCCTGAGTTCAATCCCCGGTTCTGCAAAAAAAAAAAAAAAAAAAAAAAGAACTTTAACACTCCTTGGTTTAGTGTAGTGCGTGAGAGTGAGAAGCGTAGGGAGAGTGCAAAGTTGGTGAAGATGTGTCATTCATGACCTGCCTGGTCACCAGGCCTGGTGGTGCATCCCTGTAATCCCAGCTTCTGTGGGATACAGAAGCAAGAAGTTCCAAATCTGAGCCCATCCCAGGCAGGTTAGCAACTTACTATTTTTTTTTTTTTTCAAATTGAGTGAAAACTTTATTTTTTACACATAAAGGTTGATGAAAAACCATGTTTTCTATTAAAACCAAACATTTCACTTAAAAAGAATGGTATCTAAATTTATTCATTAAAACTATTCACATTTGCTAGAGAACAGAACTTGCAAACATCCAGCTTGCTTGACCCTCGGTACACTGGGCGGGCTGCGCGCGCTGCTAGGCACAAGGCCAACTGCAGATTATCATCATCGTCATCACCGTCATCACCATCTTTGCGCTTCCTTTTCAACACACTTGATGACTCACTGGCAGTATTTTGCAACGATACCATATTAGTGGTAATAAGAATGTTTTTGGACACAATTAGTGATGGATTAATCAGAACATTGGGAACTGCTGAAGCTGCAGAAATGGAGGCTTTGATAGCAGGGGCCTGTGAGTCTAGCATCTACACTGTAAACCTCTGCCCAGTGAGGGACACTGGCACCCCTACTTTAGCCAAAATAGACATGGCCTGCGGGGTTGGGGTACCTAGCATGGGGGTACTTTGGTCTGCTAGTAACTGAACCAACACTCAACCGTGGAACTGTTACTCTTCCCACAGAAGTCGATGCCTTTTTTGGTAAAGACTTGAGTCTGTAGTTTGGAGCTGTTAAGCAGTATTGATCAGGCCGTAATCTAAGGCCTGAATAAGGCTTGATCAATGGCAAAGGGGTTTGGTTTCTCTGCTTTGCAATATCTAACAAAAAATCTCTGGGGGGAGGAGAGGTAAAAGACTTGTCTGCTGGACACTGGATCGCCAGTTGCACATCACCGGCGCCAACAGTGGTTTTGGCATGGCTTGAATCAATTTTAGCACCATCTAGAATTGTGGTTACATATCAGAAGGCAAACTCCAGCATCTGATGTATAACTTGGCTCATGTTCTGTGACCCCATGTCCTTCAGGGTTTGTGCCATCATCTGCACCTTGCGCCATGCGCTTGGGAGAAGCCATCTTGCCAGATTCCGTGATATCCGCCGATCAGACTTCTCGAGCTACATCACCCACATGAATGTATTTCAGTCCTGATCTAGATGCAAGTTCTTTGCCTAGTGTGGTCTTTCCAACTCCTGGTGTGCTGGTGATCAAGATGTTCGGAAGCACCATAGTCCCAGGCGCTGCGGGCAGGTGCAAGTCAGGTCGCTCTCTGTGCACACTCAGTTTAGCAACTTAGATCCTGTTCCTGTCTCGGAAAACAAAACAACAAAAACAAAAGACCAAACCAACAACAAAACTTGCCTGGAGGAGCCCAGAAGACAAATCCCAACACACAACACACCCCTTGAGGCATGTGGGAAATGCTTATGAGGGAATCTCCAGTATCCTTGAAGAGCTGCATGGTTGCTCTACTTTAGTGAGACCCACAGTTCCTGGATTGGGAGAATTAAATGCAATAGGAGTCACAAACCTGAATGATCAGCCTAATGGGAAAAGAGTTGCCAGTATGCCTATACTCACACATACATGTTGAGCCAGAGTCTGGGAATGGAGCATGTAGATAGGTCCAGTGAGGGTTGGTAAGCAATGTCCTCAGATGGTATGGGAGACCAGGTGAAGCCCAGGGCCTCACAGGGAGCCAGGAAATGGATGGCTGTGGGAAAAGTCCATTTGCTAGGCAGCTGGAAGTGGAGGTGGCATTTCCAGCCTTAAGGTCTCATATGGAATCATAAATTAGCCCCATACCATTTCCTCTTCCTGCTGGTTTACACTGCAACTTCCAGTCCAGCCTGGACTCAGTTCCTTCTGGAGAAACAAAAAGCCCTTTGACAGCATGGTGCCCCTTGATCCCTATTTGTACCCTATTCTTTGCCAGGTATTGCATCTGGGCAGGTGCTAGCCGCCTTAGCTGCTAGTCACCTTAGCTGGTGGGCCAGGTGGGATGAGTGGCCTGGGGCTTGGGGAAGAACAGCAAGAAAAAGAAGAAAGCTCTGTCCACCTCAGAGGGGTATTAGTAAACGCAGAATGTGAGCTGACAATGGATTGGACTTTCAGTCATTTCCGATTTTCCTTTCCCTGGGTACAAGTGGGAGAGAGCCCTGACCTTGGTGGGTTGTAGCTGGAGGCCCAGGTTCCGTAGAGGACAGGTGGGAGGGAATGTCTGGAAGGGTCGGTGAAGGTAATGCCAAGCTAGACTGGGCCATCGTGTTCACCCCTATAGGTAAGAAGTTCAGCTTGGAAGACGAGAGCAAGGAGACCGGCAGGAGGCGCGGTAGGTCCGCGCGACGCGGCAGTCGGGACAGGCTGCAGTTCCACAAGATACCGCCAGGGGCACTATGGCTGTTGCTCTGAGAAAGCGGAGAGCTGTGCTCAGCTCCACCTTGGGAACTCTGGGTGGTCACAGCAAGTTCCTAATACGGCCCCATTTGCAGACCTGCCAGTGCTCAGGTCTCTGGCAGAGGCTTGCTGGCCTCCGTGCGTGTGGGTCTGCCTGGGATAGAGGGAGACCAACCTGCTGGGTTTCATGAAGTGACCTATGCCAAGAACCTATGCTCCGGGGCTGGTGAGATGGCTCAGTGGTCTAAAGCACCTACTTAGAACAAGCTTAGCAAAGCACAGGGACCGCGGTTCAATCCCTCAGCACCACATGCCAGCCCTGACCCCTGGTGGGCTGAGCTGGCCACACACGCACACACACATACACACACATAAATAAATAAATAAATTAAAAAAAAAAGAACGTTAAAAAAAAAAAGAACCTATGCTCCTTCCTGAGGCAGGGATATAGGGGGAGAAAAAGGCAGGAGAAATAGTTGTTGAGTTGCTGGGTTGCAGGTGCACGTAGGCGCCTCCAGCCACTGGCCAGCCAACTGGGTGGGACTCTGTGTGCCCATGCCCACTTCTACCAGCCTACAGTCCTTCCACTGCCACCTAGTCTGCCCCTCTTTCCTCTCCCCACCTGGCACAGCCCAGAGGACATTTTCCTGGTCATCTGTCCAGCCAACTTTGCAAACAGTAATCAGAGCGTAGGTATTGAACTCAGGCTGTCGCACTGAGTTACATCTTCAGCAACCCCAACCCCAATTTTTTTTTATTTATTTGAGAGAGAGAGAGAGAGAGAGAGAGAGAGAGAGAGAGAGAGTGGTGTGTGTGTGTGGCCAGCTCAGCCCACCAGGGGGCGGGGCTGGCTGGCATGTGGTGCTGGGGGATTGAACCGC